TAAAGAAAACTATTTCAGTCTCTGAAACTTTGAAAGCTCTGATATTTGATTGTACTTGCAGGCAAACAGAGGGGAATATGCTTTCTTGATATTCCAAATAAAAGCTTCTTTTCTTAATTAAGATGAAATTAACAATGAAGTTTAAAACAGCAACTTCATCTTCAACTTTCATTCTATATGGAGAAAGAGGGACTTAATGATTTATATTGAAAAGAAGTCATTAGATCAATAAAGTTTTCAAACTTGGAACAGAATTATTTGGTTAAATACTGCACAAAGATTGTAGATCCACATTATGTATTTCAGGGATCGGCAACCTTTGACACACGCTTTGCCAGGGTAAGCACCTGGCGGGCCAGGCCGGTTTGTTTACCTGCCGCGTCCGCAGGTTCAGCCGATCGCGGCTCCCACTGGCTCCAGGCCAACGGGGGCTGCAGGAAGCGGCGTGGGCTGAGGGATGTGCTGGCCGCCTCTTCCCGCCGCCCCCATTGGCCTGGAACGGTAAACCGCGGCCAGTGGGAGCTGCAATCGGCTGAACCTGTGGACATGGCAGGTAAACAAACTGGCATGGCCCGCCAGGGTGCTTACCGTGGCAAAGCGTGTGTCAAAGGTTGCCGATCCCTGAAATACATAATGTGGATCTACAATCTTTGTGCAGTATTTAACCAAATAATTCTGTTCCAAGTTTGAAAACTTTATTGATCTAATGACTTCTTTTCAATATAAATCATTAAGTCCCTCTTTCTCCATATAGAATGAAAGTTGAAGATGAAGTTGCTGTTTTAAACTTCATTGTTAATTTCATCTTAATTAAGAAAAGAAGCTTTTATTTGGAATATCAAGAAAGCATATTCCCCTCTGTTTGCCTGCAAGTACAATCAAATATCAGAGCTTTCAAAGTTTCAGAGACTGAAATAGTTTTCTTTAAAAAAGTGTGCTTTTGCATATAAATATATCATGCAATCTTCAGAAATATGTATAAATTAAATTAGATACCATATGTGGTTATGATTTGTGTAATAGAGCCACAAGATAAATTATATTTATTATGCACCTTTGACAACTTCACCTGCCTATTAATCCTTTTCCTTAAGAGCTACTTTTAACATTCTAAATCTTGAAACACCTACAAACAGCTGCCATTTAAAAAGAAAAGTGATATCATTGTAATATGCTCTGGATGTGTCATTGGGACTGAACCCCAGATCTCTAGATCTAAAGGCAGGAGCTTATACTGCCTGGGTTAAAAGATCTAGTTCTGTTAGTGTGAAAGTTGCACAGACACAATACTCTACATATGGTCTAGCCACAAGACGGGGACAGAGCCACACAATAATAGGATTTTTCTTACTGGTCGGAGGGCCCTGCATAACTTGTGTGTGATCTCCCTACTCATGAGTAATGTTACCATCTCAAACACCTGCCAATAAAGTATTTATGCCACTCTGCACCACAATACTCTTTCTATGTATAAACTTGTATATGCATATATACTGTATGCATATACAGAGGCTCAACTTTTTTGGTAAGGCCACAAGTTGGCCAGAGATTCCACACAGATAATTGCTCATCTGTAGGGGAATCTCTGCTGGTGTAGAGCTTGTAGAGATTGTCATGGGGTTCTGGGTGCAGTCCAGACCAGTAAGGGATTGTCAACACTTGCCCTGCAACCCTGGGTGCCTCCAATGCTTTGTGAGCATCACAGGTTGGAAGCTACAGCAGCAGCCATCCTATAAGCATGCAGGTCATACTCTGAGTGTCTCTGTGCTTGTCAGCCCTGGTTCAACAGCTCTGGCCCCAGCAGCCTGTCTACAGCCCCACTCTGGTTTCCATAAGCATTAGTTACCACTTTCAGGGTGACCCCAACACACTCCAAGTTCCAAATTTTCCCCAAACCGCGTGCTCTGTAATATCCAGCCCTCTCTTGGACACTTCAGAGAAATAATATAGTTTCTTTCTAGAAAGACCCCCAAACCACATCACAGCTTATTAACTTAACTGGGTTAAACGCATCCTTCCATTTAAACACAGCACTGAGATGGTTTATAATAAAGATAAAGCAATCTATGTCTTACTAATAAATTTAAGTGATGTCAAGTAAAAGGAATAAAGTTAGAGTTACAAGCAAATTATAGTGTAAACAGGCATCTAAAAATCTAAAACGTAACCTAGCAAGATACAAGCTTTGTTCAAGATGGTTTCTCTCACCAGTCTTCCTTTTTCCTGGCCATGGCTGACTTTCTCTCAATCAAGACCTTCCACAAAAGCACAAGGGACTGGTTTCCCATGTCTTCCTAGGTGAAAGATCTTTGCTTAAGCAGACTTCTCACTTGTATCAAGTTCCAGAGACTTCAAACCCCACTCCTTTGGTTGAAAGATCCATCTTTCTCAGCTTGCAGGAGCTCTGGGCTCTTGTGTCTATCTAGTGTTGGATGCCAAAGATGGCTTCTGTTGTTTATATCTTCCAAAGTTCAATGACGTTGTTTCAAGATGCAGGATAATCTCATGCTACTTTTCCCTTCCTGTGGGCTTCCCATCCCTGTGTATGTAAATAGGACTTCCAGTGTTTTGATTCAAGGGATGGATAGCTCAGTGGTTTGAGCATTGGCCTGCTAAACCCAAGGTTGTGAGTTCAATCCTTGAGGGGGCTGTTTAGGGATCTGGGGCAAAAATCTGTCTGGGGATTAGTCCTGCTTTGAGTTGGGGGTTGGTCTAGATGACCTCCTGAGGTCCCTTCCAACCCTGATATTCTATGATTCCATTATGTTTAATTTATATAGGAAACAGATAAATCACAGCCATCTCTTTTCTGGGAGGGAACCTGTTTCTCCTGATTTGCCCACATAACTTTAAAAAAAAACTTTAAAACATATCATTAGGTATCCATATTTCTTCATATAGTGTTAATATATACATTTCACAATACACCAGACCCTCACTAGAACACACAAATTTGCATATAACACAGTTGCAGCCATGGATCCCAAATTTAATTACTTTAATTGCAATTCATTTTAACATGATCCCCACTATAACACGGTCCCTGCATTAACACAGTACCACACATGGATCCCAAATCCTGTGTTCTAGCAAGGGTCCAGTGTATTACCAGCATGCTATTAGCTTTCAGAAAAGACCTCACGCTATTCACTTTTATAATACAGTAATATTATACAAAATCTGTTGATTCAATTATTTATCACTTGAGATTCAGCCTCTCCTCTCCCCCTGTCTCCATAGATGAATACACCTTTGAAATTGAGTCTTCTGAGGGTCACCCTCCAAAGTAAAGTTCATTCAAGGTGTGAGGAAGGTGACATGGAGTCTGGTGGTGAAGTCCATGTTCTTTCTTCCTCCTACTTGTTAGCTGAAATTGAAAATTGTTCTGTTTCCTGACATCCCTTCCCCCTGTTAAATTGATGGTCCTATTTACGTCATTTTACATATAAGCAGTAAACACACATTCCTTTGTTAGGGATAGACCTGTTTAACAACTCTCCCAGCATACCTGGTTTACACATACATACGTTATACATAATTCCAGCATATATTTATAATTCTTAATACACATCATGCAAGAATATTAATGATCAGTGAGTTAGTTTTCAAATGATACCTCAAGGCATATATTGTAAAAGATTATAACAATATTGCACTGTATGTAAGAGAACAGTATGATTGCTCAGAGCTCCAGTATAAATCTGGACAAAAAGCCTGTTGAGAGTCTTTAGGTTTATATTAGAGGCAAGAGCAACAAAGGGGATGTCGTAGTGGACATCTGCTATAGACCACCAGACCAGGAGGACTAGGTAGATGAGGCTTTCTTCGGACAACTAACAGAAGTTTCCAGATCAAGGCCTTGTTCTCATGAGGGACTTCAATCACCCTGACATCTGCTGGGAGAGTAATACAGCAGTGCACAGACAATCCAGGAAGGTTTTGGAGAGTGTTGGGGACAACTTCCTGGTGCAAGTGCTGGAGGAACCAACTAGGGGCCATGCTCCTCTTGACCTTCTGCTCACAAACAGGGAAGAATTAGTAGGGGAAGTAGTAGTGGGTGGCAACCTGGGCAGCAGTGACCATGTGATAGTCGAGTTCAGGATCCTGACAAAAGGAAGAAAGGAGAGCAGCAGAATAAAGACATGGGGCTTCACAAAAGCGGGCTTCACAAAAGCAGACTTCACTCCCTCGGGGAACTGATGGGCAGGAGCCACTGGGAGGCTAATATGAGGGGGAAAGGAGTCCAGCAGATCTGGCTGTACTTTAAAGAAGCCTTATTGAGAGTGCAGGAACAAACCATCCTGATGTGCAAAAAGAATAGCAGGTATGGCAGGAGGAAACTTGGACAGATGACTTGTGAGGAGTATAAAAATATTGCTCCAGCAT